TAATATATACACACAAGTAGCTGTTATCCTACTATAAAATTTTACCACATGTCATGTTTTGTTTTAAAGCTCATTTTTTCCTATTGCATTATTAAATGGCACTCTCAGTTCTTTATGAGACCAAAGATATTGTCTATAGGTTGTCATAGAATTATTAATATTCTACTATATTTTTGTGTTAATTGTTCATTTTGAAATACTTCATTGTCACTCATCTAACCCAAGTTCTTACTTGGTTGACACTAATATTGCCTAAAGATTTATATATTTTCATTCTTAACTCAGTGTCTAGCATAAGACATTAAGTTGTATTCTCAGTAACATATATTGATGTGTGTGTTTTTACATCTAAAAAAGTTCACTAATTTTTATGATAGCTGATAATTGGGGGAAAAATGGATCAATTCATTAGTGTATGCCCATTAATCTATACTAGATTCATTGAAATAGGTCTCAGTATCTAAGAAGTTTTAGAATGTATTTGAGGTTACAGCAAAAACATTTTTTTTCTAGCTTTTTTTTTTTTTTAGGTAGATTACATTTTTAGAGCTGATCTAGTTATTTTGTTTTTTTTTATCCTGAGAAGAAAATAAAACTCTTGAATTAGTCATTATTTCTCCTGTTATCTGTCTTTCCATTAAGTATTCTTTTTATGAACATGATAATTTATAACATTATAGTCTTTGAAATCATTAACCAAGTTATACCATTTTTACATACAGGGTGGGGCAAAAGTAGTTTTACAGTTGTGAGTATGTGAAACAAAGTTTATTCTGTATTATTATCTACTAGAGGCCAAGTGCACGAATTCAGCATAGGTGAGGTCTCTCTGCCAGGCTGGCAATCTAGGCCTATTAGGGGGCCGGACAACTGTGGGGAGGGACCTGGGAGGTTGGCCAGCCAGGGGGAGGGTCCATAGGAAGTTTGCCAGATGGAACCCACTATCAGGGCTAATAGAGAGGCCAGGAAGGAGGGAAGGGACTGCCAAAGGTTGGTGTGGGAGCACACTGACTACCAGAGGGCAGCTCCTGCATTGAGCATCTACACCCTAGTGGTCAGTGTGCATCATAGCTATTGGTTAGGCAGTTGCTTGGGTAGTTCAGTCTTAAAGGTTGCTTAGGCTTTTGTGTGTGTGTGTGTGTGTGTGTGTGTGTGAATGTGTGTATATGTATACATATACACACACACACACACACACAATACAATGAACCCTTTATATACTTCTTATATAGCAACAGTATCAAGATTTGGGCTTATCTACTTCATTTTCTTATTTTCTTGTTACAGAAATATTTGGAGCACATCCCCATCATTTAGCCTGTACATACTTCAGTTTGCATTTTTAGAAAACAAAAAGAGCCCTAGCCGATTTGGCTCAGTGGATATAGCATCCGCCTGAGGACTGAAGGGTCCCAGGTTCAATTTTGTTTAAGGGCGCCTGCCCTGGTTATGGACTCAGTCTCCAATGGGGGGGTGTGCAGGAGGCAGCTGATCAATGATTCTCTTTCATCAATGATGTTTCTATCTCTCTCCCTCTTCTTCCCTCTCTGAAATCAATAAAAATATATTAAGAAAAGAAAATTAAAAGAAAAAATGGTGCTTTTGAAAATTAACATTAATTCTTTGACACTATCTAATATATACTTCTAATCAGGTTGCCACAATTATGTTTGCTTCCTCGAGGTGACATTAAATTTACAGTTTCCATTATTATTTGTAAACTGTAATATAGTGTAAATATTCAGTTAGATTTAAGTTAAGTTACTTGGGGATATAGTTTTTAGTAGGTGACCTGGGCTTCATATTATATCACATCAGGAGGCCTATGTTTGGTTTTCACACTAGTTATGCTAATATTGATCAGAGAAGTCACTTGGTGACTGCCTAAATTTTCCATTGAGAATTTCCCACTAACCTTTCATGTTATCTTTTTTATGATCTTTGTCTAAATCAGTTATTTTATTTGGTTGGTCAAAGGGTAATGTTCTCATTCTGTCTTAAGGAGAAGGAGTCTTTAAAAATTGAAGAAACAATAACATATTTTCCTGCGTTTGAGAATGATCTAATAGAAAAAGAAATATGACATAAGAAAGAGCTCTACCTCCTAAAGAAACAGAGGGCTGGGTAGATAAGAACCAATGGGTTCCACTGCACAGATGAGTAGGACCAGGAACAGTTGAGGTAACTTGTCCTAGGCTACAGTACCACAAAGTGCATATATTTTATTAAATTTCTATCTAAATTTTGCATGGAATCAGTTTGATAATTGTGCCTAATTTTAGAAACATTTCTTTTCATTTGATATGAAAGATGATATTTCATGTGAAATCAAAACTTAAAGCCATTCCAGACTTCATTACCTAATTTGGCATTGCCCCTCCTTATTAGAGTTTTTCTAATCTTCCTTAGAATTGTAATTTAAAATTAACGGCGTCTCATACACCTATATCTTTACATTATAAGAAATGTGGGCAATACTTTTATGTAACTATTTTTCAGCTTTTATTAGCTAGTCTATTGCAAAGAGAAGTAAATGTTCCTGTTAAATAAAATGATAAATAACTGGCAGTTTAGTTTAGACACTAATGGATCCTAAAAGCCTTTAAAATGACAAAAAACAGCAACTTTTATGATTTATAGGCTCATTTTTGTTACACAGTTTGGTCATATACCTGACAGTCTTTCCTCTTTGTGACTTTTTCCTAAAAATTACAGTTTTGTGTTATCTGAGTGTAAAGGCCATTAGAGTTCAAGAGAAGAATATGACAGCATCTCTTCTGAGGATTGTAGCAATTCCCAGTGGAGATGTACAATCTCCTTTTTCCACTTCTTTGACATAGTTCTAATAGTAGTGGTATAATTTAATACTCAAAGAATATGTACTGTAACTTTGAACCTGTAAACTCTTCAAATTGTCTCATGCATGCTGTGTGAACTTTAAGCAATCATATTTCTTTATGACTCAGTGATTTCCATTTACTACCTGTTAGCTATACAATTAGAAGTGTATTGTGGTTACTGTTGTCTAATATGTTGTGCATTCTGTTATATTAGAATTTTAACGCAATGTGGATTGTATAATCTCTTTAGTTATATCGTGCCATTTAAAAAAATTTTTTAATCACTATTGAGGTTGCACTGATTTCCTTTCCTATTTTGGCATACCCAGCACTCTAGTAGTCTCCAAAAGCAGGAATGTAATCTGAGCTGTGGGTGGTTTTGTTTGCCAACTTAGATGAAACACTTTGCATGAGTTCCATCGATCAGTTCTCATCCTTTCTAGACATTTATTGAACAATTAATACAACCTCGTAAAGACCCCCTAGAGTATTTCTATAAACTAGATCATTTTACCCAAGAGCCACAGAGATACATCAAGATAGAAAAGGATGAAAAGGCTATTTTGGAGAAATAGAAAATACTAAGCCTTCAAACTCACATTATGGTTCTCTTCATCCTTATAAATGAAAGATATACTTGTTCTTTTTAAAATATTTTGTTCAACTTAGAAAGCTTAACTTTTCATAGATATGAATCATCATTGTTTAAATCATGAAAATTTAATTGAGGTGTATTCATAATTAATACTTTTATTTCTTCCCCTACTTTTGTGATTAAAGTCTTTTTTTCTAAAAGAAAAGCTGATAATTCTTTAATATTTTTTTGGCTCTTGGTCCTTAAAACAATATAAACTCCCCGTGATTTCATCAATATTTGTGTTTTCCCAACTTTGTCATTCACAGTGTACTTTAAAAATACTTTATAGAGTGGCTTAGAATTTTGAAATTATCACCAAAAGGAAACATAATAGTAGGTAGATATTGGAAGTTTTTATATTAGTTTAAAAAAATAAATATTTTGCTTTAAAATACCATTCTTTTATTTTTTGATAACTGTTTAATAAAGGAATATTTATTTCTGACATGTAAGTTTATGTGTTGTGTTGGGATGCTGAAAATATTACAGTTTTAGACCAGTCTGCTGCTGCAATGAAGCTAAGATTAGTCTAAAAAACTAATCATTTATTTTTTATTGCCTTAAGGTTTATCTGTATAGTATAAAATGGATTATAGGACTTGTGTATTAGACCCAACCAATTTTGTTTTAGCACATCATATGTCTAAACTTTATTACTAGATGTAAAATAAATAACTGTTAATTATCTTTATGAAATTTTGTCAATTATTCATTAATTTAAAATTTCATAAATGTATTAAATTGTGTTTTAACTGGTATTATGTCATTATTAAAATTGCATAACCAGTAAAATCAGTATGGTTTATTTATCCAATGAATATTTATTGTACACCTAGTATTGTGGAAACTACACCAAACTAAACAGGCTAATTCACTGTTGTCCAGGAGCTTGCATTCTAGTGGTAAAGTAAAAGGTAAAGATATAAAATGTCAGGGGGTGGTGTTGCTACCCGTGAGTGAAAGGAGAGCAGGGTAAGTAAACAGGGGCAATAGAAATTCTGAAATGTACCTCTATGTAAGCTTTCCAAGATTCCCTCTATCCATTGACTTCAATGTTCTTTTTACTCTAGACCAGCTGTTTGTATCATCCATGTAGTTATTTCCATTGTTTTTCACATCATACTGTCCTGTAATTTCTGGATTAATGTTTGGTTTTGCCCTTAAGCTTATGCTTTTTGAAAGTTACGTCCATAAATCTTCTGTGTGTCACCAGTTTTAACACTAACTCCTAATGTAAGTGCTTGGATTTGTTACAACAATAAATGAATGACACTCTCAGAACTGAGGATATCTGGCTCCGTTGGAATCCAAGGGCCCTTTCTGAGATAATTAGGAAAAAATGAGTAAAATATTGTTAAAAAATAATAATAATAAATGACATGGATTTATACATTCTGTTTGGTTCATTTGCAATATTTTTAATTAATTTAGAGTTACATTTTACCTTATTTTATTGGCATTACTATATTATCCTTTTTTGAAAAAACAAGAAAGTTTTCTGAATATTAATCTTTTATTCACAGGTACTACTGAACGAGTGTGTTTGATCCAGGGAACAGTTGAAGCACTGAATGCAGTTCATGGATTCATTGCAGAAAAAATTCGAGAAATGCCTCAGAATGTTGCCAAGACAGAGCCAGTCAGCATCCTACAACCCCAGACCACCGTTAACCCAGATCGCATCAAACAAGTGAGTGTTTAGTTGGGAAATCAAAGAGAACTACTCATAGCATAGTCTGAATTACTTATCAAAGAAGCCTTTAGTTTACTATATTTTTTTTTCTAAAAATACTTAAAATAACAGTTGTCATTTATTTATTTAAAAATGATTGTTCTCTTTCTTACATTGATTTGATTGATTGAATTATTAATTTCAACACTGAGGAGCAATTATGTGATTCATTTCTGTTACGATTTACAGACACAAATTTGATAATTTATGGGAATATAATCTATTTTAAATTATATTATTTTTAAGTAAAGTATAAAAATTTTAAACTATATCCTCAAAATTTAAATACCATCTTGGTATTAGTCTTCAGAATAGTTACTATATTATGCGTATATATATATATATATATATATATATATATATATATTCTTGTTTTGTTAATTTGTCATGTTCAACATTTTTTTTATCAACAAATATGTTTAAGTATACCTTTGTGCCTAGCAAACAGTTACTTGTTACAACTCAGCTATTATATTCTGTATAACTTGTGTTATATATATATATAGAGAGAGAGAGAGTCATAAAGGGCCAATGTGAGTTTTTAATGTATGGGATTCTCTGTAACAAAATTTTTACTTGATAAAAGACAATGCAAGTTTTTAAGAGTGAGTAATGGCTGACATGATATAGGAGAAAAATAACATTATTTGAATACTAAATAAGGTAGATTCTTCCCCATAAACTCTTGAATTCAAAATTATTGGATACTTTATAATTATTGCTTCAGCATTTGCCCTTTTATATTAACTACTTAATTTTTATCATTCTATTAATAGAATATACCCTCAAAAGGAATGTATTTTTTATTACTTTACAAGATATTTTATTTACAGAATATTTATGTTCACTTAATGAATTTGAAATGTAGCTCAAAAATCTTATTAATTTCATGTTTCTGAATTGAAAAACAGTGTTATGAACCTATTAAATTTTTATCAATATATAGGTAAATATAAGAGTGACTAATCACATTCAAATGTAGAAAATATCAATTAGACAATATATTTTCAAATTATAGGAAAATATTTTGTTTTCTCTTAATTACTATGTTACAAAATACTTCCTTGTTTAAATTACGAATAGGTAGTTGTTATTCCATATAAAATGATTCATTTATTTTACTCTCTGTTAATGTCACAATGGTTAGATTTTGTTTGTATACCCTTCATACTTTTTCAAGGAAATAACTTTTAATCTGTATATGGCAAAATTTAAATATTTTAAAGCTTCAAATATCAGATGATTATTTTATCATTACTGACATTTATAGTTTTAGAATTTTTATTTTATCTATGCTAGATAAATACAAAGAATATCTGTAATGCTTTTAAAGTGATACATGATTCTATCTATATAGGTTCGAAACTATGATGTGAGTTAAAGACCTCTGCATTAAGTTCACCTGTGACTAAGAATTTACAGAAGCACTAAAGTGTAGGGTCTGTTGACTTTCTACCTTAATTCAGCCTAGTCTTTCTTTTCTTTTGTAACTTATGTGAGAAGTTCAAACATTTATGGGTGTGATGGACATCTTGATTTTTTAAAAAGTAAAACATCAAATGCTGTTGGAGTAGAATGACATCATTGGCAGTATATTCAAGACAATGATATGAATGGATTTTTTTAATTTTAATATTAATAAGTCACTAGTACAATCAAATAATTGTCCCAAATCATTATTAAAATTCCAATTTTATCTATGGCCATATGACTTTCATTGGATACCATGTATCCAGTGCCTATATAGATTTATGAACACCAAAATTTAAAAATGTTTGGTTTACTTTTATTTGCCTTTTTCTCATAATATTATTTAAATTCAAGATAAATATTAAAAATAGAGATTGGTTTACTTTTGTGTATTTGCATTCACTTATAAGTAAGCCTTATAGATACTCATGGAATTAATATTGTTGTCAATTATTTAATATTTTATGTAATTAATAATATATTAAATACAGTATCATTTTAAAAGATTTCTCAAAACAGTACACTAAATCTAGAAGGGCAATATATTTTACATTTAAAATCCTTTTTTGTATGTATAAAAATAAAATAATATACTTGAAAATTTTGGAAGAGAGATCTTATATATTTTTAGATATCATAGATGAACAGTTTTTTATGCTCTAAGTTTAAGATTCTCTCTAACTTTATAGGTATCCTATCTTACCAATATCAGACTTTCTATTGGAACATTCTCTAAATAGAATTCCAAGTATATAAATTTAAATAACCATGATTTTATTTCTGAAGACATTATGCTGACAATCCAGTATAGAATAATTATGTCTAATAGAAAGTATTTTTCACTAGAATAAATTAAAACATATTTCATATGATACATATATTATATGTGACTTTAATACATAGAATCATAATAAAATTTCCTTTAAAATGGCAGTTTTTTCTTTAGTGATTGATACAAGATTTACATTTACTTTGGGCTTCAGTCCTCAAATTAATAAAAAGTAATGTCTTTGAAGGATTGTTTTAGAATTTTTTTTTAGTTAAGATTGTGCAAAGAGTAAATTAAAGTTTTTAAAATGCTTGAGCTAGGAAATGTAACTTTTGTATTTAATATTGAATATGGAATTATATATTTTTAAAAATGCTTGTAATTATGTGTCCATTGTTTTTGCTTTCTAAAAATAAATTATATGTAACCTATATATAAAAATAATTTATATGTAATAGGAAGTCAGAGTTAATTTTAAACAATTAAAACTTGCCTTAAATGCTATAATTTTATACCATATATTATGGACTTTTAATGAAATGGTATATTTTGAATTATGCAATCTAGATACAGTTGGTAACCAAAAAAATTTTATTGATCTTCATATTCTGCCTAAATAAAACCTATATTTATTGTCTGAATCAGTTTTCAAATCAGAATAGTTGTTTTAGGGAAGCAGTGCATAACGGTCTTACCACTCTTTTGTAGAGTGAAATGATAAAATCTAGAATGACAGCCTTACATCCAACCTCAGATACTAGATATTGTAAAATAGTCAATTCTTAATTCTCAAATATTTTTGTTTTCTATTTAAAACATATTTGTTTGTAACACAGAGACAATTATAATATTTATTGAATAATCAGAATATTATATCCTCTGTTTTTTAAACTTAATATCAGGAAACTATCATGAGGTACATAATACCATTGTGCTTATTTTAGAAGACAGTATACTAAGGCACAGATATGCAGCAAGAGTTAATAAGCCAAAATTAAACATTAATTAGCATGAAACATATTATGTCTTATTTTTAAGATACACAATTAACTGAGACATTTAAATTTTTCAAATAACTAGACTTGCTTGCCTAAAAGCTCTGAACTCATTTCAGAGCACTTCCTAGCCCAGATTATCCTACCTACTAAAAGAGTAATATGCAAATTAACCATCACTCTGCTCAAGCCATGCCCACCAGCCAATAAGAGTGAATATGCAAATTAATTCCAACCAAGATGGCTACAGCCTCAGAGAGCAGTTGAGGGGCTTGGGTTTTCCCAGCAATAGAGGAAGCCAAGCTTTCTACACACCCTGACCGGCCTAGACCTCCACTCAAGGCCTAGACCTCCCTGTAGGGGAGGGCCGTTAGGGGTGGCCAGGCCAGTAGAGGAGGGAAGTTGGGGGCAAACAGGCTGGTAGGGGATCAGTTAGACATCAATCAGGCTGGCATGGGAGTGGTGAGTGGGTGATCAGGCTGGCAGGCAAAAGTGGTTAGGGGCAATCAGGAAGGCAGGCCGACAAGCAGTAGGGAGTCAACAGTCCTGGATTGTGAGAGGGATATCCAACTGCCCATTTTGACTCTATCCCACCGGGCAGTTTAACATCCTTCAAGGGGTCCCAGATAGGAGAGGGTGCAGGCTGGGCTGAGGGACACTTCCCTACCCTGTACACAAATTTCTTGCACAGGGTCTCTAGTTTTGTATATATTTTTCTAATCTCTAATTTTTTATGTTTTGAGCTTTATACTTTTAATTTCCCCCGTAGGATTATTGAACTTTTCTTCTTGTAAGTGCCTCAAATCCCCCTCTAAATATATTTGTTTATATGTAATGAGTCTGAAACCTCCCCAAAAATGTTAGAAACCACAAATCAGTATTATAGCTAGCATTTGTTAACTTCCTTTATCTATTATAGATTTTCAGCAATTTATTTCTTTTTTGGCTCAAATATATTTTTAAGGAAAGCTACATTAAGTAAGAAGTGGTTATAGGCATATAAACAATTCTCTTATTTAAAAAAAATCAAATTAAAATGTCTGTAGTCTCATTTAGCCTATAAATAATTTTACTTTCATCATGAAAATTGATAAAAATTGCACATAACTTGTTTTTGAGAAATAAAAAATGCTTAAAGTAATTTATAAAAATATAAAACTTTACTTATATACCAAAACTATAATATAAACAATGTACCATAAAATTTTAGAGGAGTGTGAAAGAAATATGGGCTGGTGACATTTGATATTGTAAAACAGGTAAAGGCTTGAATCTTGAAGATTGTATAGGAATTGCCTAATTATAGAAAAAATTATTTTAGGCATGTGAAACAATATGTGTGTAAGGAAAAAGGTACCATAATTGTTGAATAGTATGGAAACGATCTTGACAGAGGTGGAACATCAGTGTTGGAGTTTAGAGAAAATAATATTAGATAGGTAAGATGGGATAATGGAGAGCCTTGCATGTCGGGCTGAGGCGTATTCCAAAGGCTACGGACTCTTGCTAATATTTCCTAACAAGCCCTTGTAATTTTTCTGGAAGGTTATGAAAAAGAAGAGGTACCTCAGCATTTTGTTCTTTTCTGTGCTAAATATCCAGGCAGAATATTGGGGTGCTTGTAGGTTCAGTTTGCAGGAGAAAAAGAGAGCTATGACAATTAGCTGAGTGTTCTACAATGTAGATCTTTAGTTTTGAAGATCTGTAGGAAAATATTTTCTAAA